TATTGCAACCTATTGGTGTATTAAAGAAATGGGGAAGAAATATGGAAAAGAAAAAAAAAAAATGTGACAATGAAAACAAACCCAAAGACACCAGGTGTTGAGAGACCAGAAATGGTAGGGCAAAGTCTCTTCTACAATTTTGGTTTTCTTATTCTTTTGTGTTAAATTAACTGAAAGAGAATTAGTCCTGTAGAGCAATGATTAGAAGCTGTGTGGGAAGGATACGATAGTGCAGGGAACAAGTGCTTTTGCTGGTGGGCTGCCATCTGATCCCATGAAAGCAGGACAATTAGGATCAGATCATTTTCTTGCACCTCCTTCCATTTGCTTTTCAAGTCCAGTTGAGAGATAGTTATTGTACTAATCTGACTACACACACACAACCTACCTACCCACTGCGATATCATGCTTGCTGTCATCGCCACTGAGTTTTTAGCGCCACTCAAGACATGTGCAAGTCAGTTTTCCTTCACGTTTTCTGTGCTCTGCTTCTGAGGCTCTCCCATCCTATCAGTGTATTGACATATTCAGTTAAGTATGCATTTGCTCCACACTCTCACCAACCCATGTTCTCTCCTTTGACTGACATTATGAAGAGGCTGGGAGGCCAGAGAAGGGTTCCCTGAGTACAGTCCTCCCAGTGGTCTACATGCCCCAAGATTACCTACTTGCCTCTCCGCTCTCCTCCCCACCAGTCACAATGCTTGTACTCTTGGTTTCGTTAGTTTCATCTAGACGCGAAGGAGGAAGCAGCTCGATTTTAATTCACGCTAAATTGTCAATAACTCTACAGACACGTACACACACGAACAGTACACATATTTTTTAAAAAGCCTAAGTTTTATTCTAAATTGGGCTGTAACTGGGGAAGTTTCTGGTCATATTGACTGAGTTGGAAAAACAATGTGGGCAGTAGGGGAGATGAATTCATTCTGTAAATCTTTGTGTGCCTCCTTTATGCCAACACTGTGCTGGGCCCTGTGTATCCATCGCCAAGGCCACAGATGTGATCCCTACTCTCAGGAGCCTCCCTGGTTGGTCTTGGAGGGGAGTCACAGGGAAGGCAGGCCCACCCTGTCAGTTTCATGCCATCTCTGCCTTTTTTGTTCTCCCTTCCACTTCTGAAGCAACTCCTGAGGTACTGACAGAACATAATTGAGATGTGTTGAAACTCATTTATTCAAAGAGGATTTTTGCAATCAAAGGTTCCATATCTCTCATCAGATAAAATATCCACTAATGTCATTTTACAAGTTACTGAGAATCTTTCAAAAGTTGTTTTCTTTGGAGGAAAAAAACCTAATTTGTTCTTTTTTAAATCAAATCATTTGGGTTTTCTACATCACTTGCTTTTTTTCCACTCCAGGTTTGGATGAAAGCACTGGCATGGTGGTCAACAGGCCAACGAATGAGGCAAAGCACATAGCAGGGAAACCCATTCTTGATAATAATGCTGTGAATCTGTTTTCTTCTGTCGTTATTGCCCTTTTGTTACCAACAGCGGCTTGGGGTTTTTGGCCCAGGGAGTGAAATTTATTTCATATCCACAGGTTGAAACTGATGAGTTCAGCTAAATTTGCAATTCCATCTTTCATCCTAAGACTAATAATCGTAATGGCAAAGCAGAAATGCCTCCCATATTCCATTATTATGGAATTCCACATTTTTCTCTCATCTGCCTTGTAACAGCTAACATCCTTCTAGTGAAAGAGTTCATAATGGAACTTAAGAATGTTTTTCTTCTGCTGAATGGAGGTTCTTGAACGATGATGCTACATTGTCCCTACATATTGCTATATATTGAAGTGAAAATGTCTACATAGTAGTCTATGTCAAGTTTTATTTTGCTTTGTTTTGTTTGTTTAAAACAATGTAGGGACTAAAAATGATGATATTTTAAAACGGTTTTCAGTGGAGGCAGAGAATGCCACTGTGCCAGTTACCCAAATGTTATATCTGTTTCAAATGGTTTAAGCTGATGTGTGTGGAAGTCTAAATAAATACCTTAGTATTTATTTAGAAGTATCCTGGACTTCTCCCATTATCTTGCCTTTTACCATTGTGAAAAGTGTGGAGATTGGTCCGTAGTGAGTTGTGTGGCCTAGTCCACATTGGTTCTTCCTCAGGGTTAGTAATTTTTAAAAAAAATAGTAAATGTTTTTTTCATGTACCCATTAGAAAGCATGGAAAAACATATTTTTAACTAAAAGCAAAAGAAATTGATCTTATATCTAAAAATGTGCACCTT